ATTATTATTATTATTATTATTATTATTATTATTATTATTATTATTATGACATTCAGACTGGGTGTGGCATTTTTGTCCACCTATCAAGTCCTTCCTGAAGACCTGAGATAGGTAGATGTGGATGGTTGATGAGAGGATGGAAGCTCCTTCCGAGCAAGGCTGCCTTTTGCAATTGACTGATGGTGACTTTGTCAATGCCCATGGTGTTCAAGGGATGCTCCAATTGTTTTATAATTATTAAAATAAGAGCCATCGTGGCACAGTGGTCGGAATGCAGTATTTATAGTATTTATATTTATATGCTTTATAGTTCCTTTATCTATTTTTTTATTATTCAGTATTCTTCCATTGCAATGTGACTGTTAATATACAATGCAATCCACATTTCAGTTTTATTTTGTCTGTTTATAATGAATAATGAATTTATGTTAATTATGAACCCATGTTTTAAGTATTTTTGATTTGTTTCTCAACAGAACATCGTTGACCTTTTTAAAAAAATGTTGCTAAATTAATATAATTAAAACATTGCTAAATTAATATAATACTAAAATACTAAAAGTGGCATTTAATTAAACAGCAGGAGAAATTCACATTTTTTTCCCTCCTAGCCTGAAGTAATGTTTTCAGTTGTTTCATATTAAATATTAATTCCAATGAACTTCAGTAGCATCAGAATGAATGGTATGATTGATCAGAAAGCTAAATTTGAGCTGACATTCTTCTATCACCCAACTTAATGTGGCTCTCATTGTAGGATAACTGAGGATAATTATATGGCATAAAATCCATATCATTGTAAAAAAAACAAAACTGGTCTAAAACAATGCTGTGAATATTTCTTCGCTAATAACTACCATTTGGACCAGTAGGGAACTCTGGGAGTTGAAATCCAGAAATTTTAAAATAGTTGAGATTATAGAACACTGATTTAGGACAAGGGGCCTTATTTAATAAGGCAGTAGATGTTATATCCTGCTATGAAACCAATAACATTTCAGCAGAAGTATACCTTGCCTTGGTTAAATCTTAGATAAATTTGAACCATTGCTATGTTTGTGGAAATAAAGCTTCTATGGGTCAAACTACATGTTACATTAAGCACAGAATATACCACTGACTCTTACATCTGAAGGGCAGTATGGTGGCTCAGAGGTTAAGATGCTGGGCTTGTCCGCTGGAAAGCTGACAGCCCTGGTTTGAGACCCAAGTGCCATGTGATGGGGTGAGCTTCTGTTCTCACCTCAGCTCCTGCTAAGCCTAGCAGTTCGAAAATGTGCAAATGTGAGTAGATTAATGGGTACCACTTCGGTGGGAAGGTAACAATGCTCCATGATGTCATGCTGGCCGCATGACCTCAGAGATGTCTTTGGACAGCACTGACTCCATGGCCTTCAAATGGAGATGAGTACCAACTCCTAGAGTTGGCAACGACTAGCGGAGTAAAATCCTCAGGGATTCCTTACTTCTGAAGTAGGATTCCCAGGCTGCAGCCTTCATAAACACAAGGGGCAAGGCCTCATTGCTTGTATCTTTTGACCAACACAGCATCCCAACATAATTCTGCAAGCATCTCTCAATTTGGGTATTTGTGCAATGTTACAACGTGCATCGAGAAAAAAGTAACAATTGCATTGAGTGGTATAAATCTGCATTCTTCACTCTGACCAATCCTCCCTTACCCTCAAAGATGGCATTGCAGGGAAAGAAACTTCTCGGCTTTTGACTTATGTTGTTTGCTG